GTATTCAATTGTTTTCGGTCACTTCCGGTTTCACCGGAAATTTTAATGAACGAATCGTAAGAGTTGATTCATTATGAGAAATTGAATTGCGTGATTCAATTCACGAAAAACAATCGTAATGCCCATCAATAGTAACCGTAATATATTTACATTGGGGTGTCATCCTGTGCTTGCATAGTAAATTTGATTTGGTGTGCTGCATGGGATAGTATCAACATAATTACAGTACTTCAGATTTAGGATTACTGCAATACTTTATATCTAGCTGCAAAAAGCATCAGTCATAGTAACAGCTCTGTATTGTTTAAAATTTCTTGTACAACTTTAAGATACTGCACTAAAGAAAGTATATATAATACCGTACCCAACCCAAGTTCCTTTTAAATATGCATTGTCATTATTCAGATCACATTAATAAGTTCGTAAACTTTTCGCAGACCCTAGATCATTCGCATTATCTCGCACCCATCTGAACTTTCTTCTATTGTTAGATCCTATCTTATAATATCATCACTATCGGCGTGTTATTTTCCGCTAACGGTTATATGTCATTGGCACATCCTGTAACGGAGCGCCTGCCGTGGATGAACAAACGAAAGTGGTTTCAAGGTCACATCCTAGTTACCTTGATTCCACTACTGCGGTTCATCTTCACTTTCGCTTTCATTAGATAACGGTCGCTGCCCAGACAGATCTCCTAGCAGAAATAAATAAGGATTTTTTTATAATTTTTGTATATTCCATTATTGTTAATCGTGTTGCTACCATTAACTATATCTGCTCCCTTTGCTGCCAATAAATACTAAAGCATGTATCTTTTTATCTGTTTTTATTATTTTTGTATCATATTTGGACTTTCCTTTTTAAAATCTGGAAAACACAATCCAGTATATATCAGGAATATATTTAAAATATTTCTCATTGAGTATACCGGGTGCGTCTCAAAAGTGACTCACCCTTATAACTTCAGTTAGTATATGACATCAATTAGGATTGATTGATGTATTCAATTGTTTTTGGACTGGTTACAATTTTTGAATGACAAGAAAGTGACACTCTGAATAGTATACCATATCATATGTCAACTTTTGACATTTTGTCATTTTCAAAATTAACACAGGCGACAGAAACACATTTATATAAATTTAAATCTTTAAAACTACAGGTTCTTGTATTTTATTTATAAATATAGAAAGAGACAAGATAGATTGATTATCCTTGACATAAATAAAATCATCAGATAAATTCAATAATGTTTACTAATGAGATGGCGCTAAACATGTTAAAAATTCTACATTAACTTAAGTTTTATTTTATTTTAAATATAAATAAGCATAGTTTAATAATTAATTCAGTACTTGCTTCATCATGCTATAATATTCTAAAAATTAAGCAAGATATTATGTTATCCATGTTTTTGAGGATTATTTGGGGAAAACACTTTATTTTGAATTGTAGACTTTAGATGATTTTTGAATGTTAAAACCGTTAGAAGACGATGATTAAAACTGATATGATAAGTTTAATCATTTTGACGTTATGATTAGTTCTAATATTCTGCTAATAGTGAAATACACTTTTAGAATCTACAATAAAGTGTTTTGAAGGGAACCTAAGTTGTCTTTATGAACAAAAAATGCTTAAAATATTATGATGTCTTTAATCTTTAATATACACTTTGTCCCCGGATTGACTTTACAAGAGGAAAAACTTTTTTATTATTTACATTTTGAGAAAAATGCATTTTCGTAAAATTTTTAGCTTGTTCTAAAATGGCTAATCTGGTTTATACTTTTCCATACCTTTTTAGAGAAAATTTAAAAAACATGAAAATGTACTTGACTTTTCTAAAATTTAAAAGGCGTTCCTAATGTTATACCATTCCGAATTCATTCTTTGATAGATTGTTATTATTAGAATTTTAATTCACATAATATTTTTTGCTGTTTTAATATGTTAAAGAAGCACAAAATTTATTTAGTTCAATGCTACGGAAAGGGTCATTGTAGTTATCGGAAAATGTAATAGTTTAACATCAGAAAAAAATATGACATTAATCAAAATTAATAAGAACCATGATATTACCATTTTTTAGAATTAGAATTTAGAATGAGTGGGAGGGGGGTTAATCACTTCGACCTTACAGATCCATTGTGTCCCCCTTTCTTGAATCATAACTCATCATACAGTCCCAGGGCTTTGACAAAAGCCAGTATCTGGGATGGTTTTATAGAGGGTAGTTCTCCATCTCCAATGATATTACCATAGAAACGCCTTTCGATTTTTAGGACTTTGAAAAAATTCAACCATATTTTCATGTTTTTTTTTAATCGCGGGTACTTATCGATTGTATCGCGGGTACTCAAAAACTAGCTAAGTCGACAGGCATGTAATGAAGTCTGTGGCAAAATCATATTATTATATGAAACGTGTCTATTGCGTAATTAACATACGTAGAGAAAAATACAGCAATTCCTATTCGGGACGAGAGATTTACATACATTATTGCATAACACTGTTTATTACTCTTTTAGAATATACTAGAGGAGGGCATGTATTTAATACTCATCTTCCAATGCGTTTTATCGCTTTCTAGCATCTGTACGTTTCTGCTATCAACCATCTTAAAAATTCTTCTATTTTATAATCATATTTATATGTATTTTGTTTATATCTAATATGTGCCTTGATAGTCAAGATGGTTTAAAATAGAATAAAAATATTAACAGTACATTACGTTTCCTGATTATTTTAAAAAATAAAGTTTATTTTACTCTCGAAAGTTCGAAAAATATGGCAAGACAAAAACATATCAAAACACTTTAAAAAGAGGCTAGTTCACTGCCTAGTCTAGTACCTACTTCCTATACTAATGTATGGCTCCTTCCGACGATGAGACAATCAGAAATAAAAAAAATGACGCAACTGAAATGTACGTAATGCTCAGAATTCCCTGGACTGCACGACGAACCAATGAATCTATAATCCAAGAACTGACCATCACAGAACGTCTCTCAACTTCTATACAGTCAGGCTTAAATATTTCGGTCACGTTATGAGGAGGGATCCTGATGATCCTGTCATAGTAATGGATAGATACCGATAGAACTTTTTTATTTTTTAGAAAAAATGATTGACGTATTCAATTATTTTCGGTCACTTCCTGTTTCACCGGAAATAACTACAACTTTTAAACGGTACACTCGTATTTTTTACTTGACTGGATAGAAAATTACATCATATGTCAATTTTTGACATTCTCAATTTATAGAAAAATAATATCTTAAATTTCAATCTAGAGTGTCATGGTTGTGTCAAAATCACTAATTTTTAATGAAGGAGACTTGAAAAAACATATTTGATTGTCTACGTTTTTAAGCATAACTCTATTTTTTCAAATGGAACTAGGGTGGCTTATTAGTTTATTTGGGAAAAGCATATTTTTCAAGAATAATTTGGTAAATACTTGGTATTTGAACTCAAAGTGTCATTATATTTATTATCGTGATACCCTAGTTTAAAATTTAGTTTGCAATTTACTTAAGGGAAAATGTCAAATGTTGACATATGACATATGATATATCTGTCATTCTATTCAGAATATCTTTTTCTATCAAATAAAGTAAAAAAAACCGAGAGTGGTCCATTTAAAAACAAAAGTTTTTGCCATGTAAATGGAATCTAAGTCGACTGCTAGAATAAAATGACAACAGCCAATAACTATCCGTCTATATTTATTCACTGTTTTAATAGAAACAAATATATTGCAGTGACATAAGTCTTCTGAACATGCATAATCAACACACGGATGCGTAGATATCTCTTTAAGTATTTGCATAAGATTACATAAAAAGATTCAAGTCCCTAATAACATTCATAAAATATATTTACCTACAAGAAGATGCTAATTCCTATGCTCGTTCCTATGGCCTGTCACGCCACTAGATTAACCTAATCTAACTTAAAATATCTACAAACATTTCTGATACTCAAGCATACTTTTGTTATTATTGTAATAATTGTTTCTGATTTGATAATATTATAAAAATAGCTTATAAAGAAAGTAATAGGCAACAAACAATATTCTTCATAAAATTTAACTTTGTTAAAAGACTCTATTAAATACTTGCACACAGGGCGATCTAGTGTTCCGAGAATACATATCAAGTAGTTTTTGAAATGATTAATTTTAAACTTTTTTTGGGCCTTTAAAGCTCTACTAAAATGTTTCAAAAGTGAGTCCATTTAATTCCAAATTCACTACGCAAAAGTACGTGTGCTGCCAAAATATAATTTTACTGACAAGTGACTGCCAATGACTACAAAGAAGACTGCCTATGTCTGTCATATAATTATAGTCGACTGATGCCAACGACTGCCAGCGACTGCCAAGGAAATGTGAGACAACATAAACCAAAACTAGCCGTTTAATTTTTCTTCACTATAAAATGGAGCACCTTGCCTTTTACGAAAAAAAAATCGATTTTTATTTATGAATTGCCAGTTGTTCATCAAACAGTTCAGTAATCAATAATATATGAAAATAACAAATATAGTGACACAGATATCATAGTAAGTAGTATACACTATGTTATATGTAACAATAATTATTATTTTGACCAAAATCAGCATAAGAATTAATAAAATAAAACACTAATTCACCATAATACACCAAAACACTTTACTTTTAAACATTGGACGTGTGTTTCGCTAACCATGTTAGCATCATCAGCAAAACTCGTAATAAATTCCTTGAAATAATAATTTCTGAATATTTTTTAAAACGTAACTCGCTAAGGAAAAAAATATTGTTTTGTACACGACGATAAAATTGCATTATTGTCTCCCAAAATTAATTCACTCGCGATTTCATCGCTCGTGAATTAATCTCTTCGGTCGACGATGAAATACCGTTTTATCGTCTTATATAAAAAATAACTATTAATGGCCTATTTTGCTAAACTAAATAACAGATTCAACACAATTGTTTTTTGTTTTAGCTTTGAAACATCCGATGGAGTATCCAGATCGGAAACTGGCGAATTAAAGAACGCAGGAACTGACAATGAGGCTCTAGTCATGCGCGGTACCATTTCTTGGATTGGAGCTGACGGTACTCCTTACACCATCGAATTTATAGCTGATGAAAACGGGTTCCAACCAAAAGGAGCACATTTTCCTAAATAATTTTCTATGTATACTGTATATCTTGTAAATAAAGCTATAAAAATATGTTTTAGGAAATTTTCTTATTTTTTTACGAAATAAAGTTATTAAGAACATAGCGCCCAGAGGCGCCGTAAAAATACCGTCTATTACTTAAATTCTACATAAAATATTCATTATTTATATAGGTAAGTATGTTTGTAATACATAGTTGTTTTTTGTAGTTTAAAATGTGTGTCTAGGGAAAATTCACAACTCAGATTTTTTTTTTTTGATTTACTTTAATTTGTAAACTATTTCAAGACAAACATAAACATTTTTTATAATAAAAATCAGAAAATCTATTTTTTTGCATCACTTACAAATATCTTTGTTCCAGAAATGTGCTATCCTGAACATTTACCACCCTATAACCACATATAACATAATATGTTGTCCCATAGATAAATGCAACAAGTTTAGAATGGAAAGTGCCCATAAGGACAATGTAAATTTAAACACTATTTGGCGTTATTCTTGCAACGGTCGCGACCCAAAGCTTTTGAAAATTCAGAGCGGTTAGGCTTTTTCCGGAATTATATCGCCAAATGTTATTAATTCAAATTTATTATTATTTTCCTTTAATTTTTATTTAATTTTATAAATAAAATACGGTGTGTTGCATACAAGAAACTTTATTTTATTTAAGGACATGTATGAAATACCTATGAAACATTGGAAACCGACGTTATGCCACGATCCACGATGGTTTTTGCAGTTCACATCACAGCTTTTTAAGTTTTTAATGCCACTTTTTCACAATTATCACGGCTTTGAGTAAATAAAACTTAAATTAAACTCACAAGACACACAGCAATACTAATAATTACTTTGAAAATGGACGCTTTAAACACTTTTCGGAATTTTTTCAATGAGAGCGGTTTAGATTTTGAAAGATTTTATAATTTTTAAAGATTCTGACTTCGACAAGAGATATGGACAAGAGAAAATTATTTCCGTTTTTGTTTGCGGTTGTTCTTAGCAACCGCTATAGCCGCGCCAGATCGCGTACAACGGTCGCGACCCAAAACAATTTCGCGACCGAAAATTTTGACGGGCATTCTAATCTAAGTTTATTTCCTTTATCTATGGATGGCCTGTCCTATAAAATAAATCAAACGCTGGTAATAATTATTAATAATGTCAAGTAACTTACACTTTAAAAAGATATTTGATTTAACGTAATTGCCGCTCTCTACTAAGCCGATGGCACATTAATTCCAATTTCAGAGTAAAAATCTACACAGAGCTTACGTTCTTATGCTTAGTTTGGGGAGGTGATAATAGATGGCTTTGCCAGTCAAACTTAATAAATTTTTTTTTAGTTGTCTGTCTCTAATTACAAATTACAAATTGGGTTCTACAGAATATACATATATCTTAAAAGTATATAAAAATATTTAGTAATTATATATATATATTAACATAATAATTCAAAATAATTGTGTTTGCATGGAATATGAAAAAATTAGAGGGATTGTAATAATTTCTTGACATTATGGTGGCGACTTCTTTTTGTAAGAAAACAATCTTAAATGAAAAAAAAAATCACCTAGCGTCTAGCCACAGAATATACATATACGCTATTCTGTGGTCTAGCGTTTATAATAAATTTGATTGCCTTAAGGTACCGTATGGTCGAAAAAAAAACGGCGTCCAGTTGGCTAGGAAATGAGGATCAATGATATTTCCCATATAAATTTGCATATAAAATGACAGCGATTTTCATTTCATAAATATCAAAAATTTAGTCAAGACCAAGACAAAGACCAGTTATGCTCATCACTAAATATGAATAACTTGATAAATATACAGGGTGCCAATTTGAAAAGGAACAACATTTAATATTGCGTATATGTACCTTCGTAAAAATATTTATGCCTTTTTATTTATTTCAAGTATTTTATAACAGTAAAATATAGGGAGTTACATTTTTAAAAGTGAAGAAAAATACATTTGCTTTTGAGGAGGGGAAAAATCTTGCATAAAACACCGTTGGGTAGTGTCGGATTCCTACCCGACTAAAAAAACCCTTCTCGCATTCCAACGCTCTATCCAGTTGGAAACCGCTTGCGCATTACTTCAGCTGGAAGGCTGAAGAAAAATACTATGTGTGCTCTATTTACCTGTGCAAAAAAAACATAGCCGGCCAAAAATTCGTAAAATAAATGGCAAATAATAATTATTATTTTTACACACAACACGGCCCGTCCATAATTCAATCCCAGCATCTTTTATCTTCGTCTCTTCAACCTTCAACCTTCTCGCCCCTCTCTTTCTCACAGGATTGATTGTTGATCGGGCCGGGAATCCGCGAGCTTGCGACGTTACTAATTGACATCTTGATAGAAACTGCAGACCTGCCGCCTCTTTTGCGTGTTTGTAATGGACACAAATCGAAAAAAACGCTTCAAACGGTCAAATCGCAAAAAGCGCTTTAGACGCAAAAAACGCTAAACGCTAAAACGCTTCCTGTGTGGCCGTGGGCTAAAGTTTGTTTAAATCGGCTCACCTAAACCAGAGTTATCCTTATTTTAATAAAAGCAAGTTTAACCTTCCCCCACCACTTTATTCAGATCAAAATACGGTATACCACAAAAATTTCAAATTTCTTGATGATTAAAATAGTAATATTTAATATAATAATTCCTCTTCACGTGCAAATTTTTGAGAAAAATCCTGTTTTCTGATTGGCCATCACAGATACGTCCTCTAGCGGACATTTTTCGAATTTGAAACTAATTTTCAGGAATTTCTCTTGGCCGATTTACTTATTACAATTTTTTTCCCAAGTTTCTGAGATACAGCCGGCGTCCATTCTTAGTTAGCCACCCGTTATACTTACTTTAATACAGATTATATCGTAATCGTAAATCGTACAGGGTGTTTAAGATGTAATTTTAAAATGTAAAGTAATTTTTTCGTTTCTTTTAATGGAATACGCTGTATACAGGGTATTTTATAAGTCGTATAAAAATTTCAGGATGTGACTCCTCATACGTTTTTAAGAATAAAAACTTTTATAGAAACATAGGGCGTAAAGTAATTCGTTTCTGATCTACAGGATGTTTTCTATAAATGGACACTTAACCAAATACCCTAAGTTATTTTATTAAATGGCTTTTATACAAGATAAATCACAGAATATTCTTTATATGTATATCTGGGCCTAAACTAAAATTTCCGTTCCAATTTACCTACGGTGTTTCTGTTTCGATTTGAAATATCATAAAGCCGCTACACTCAATTTCAATTATCAAGAATAAAAGGCTGTTTCTTTCACAGATCATGTAATTCGTGAATATTATCAACCTTTCAAAAAAAACATTGATTTAAAAGTTTCACATTTTAATAATGACGTTTAATTTTTTCTCATGTACCCTACCTTATTGTTGCTAATTTATTTTTTACTGAAAAACTAATAAATTTACTGTAATTATCTACCGTTCCCGTAAGTTATTTATGGGAATCGTTATTAAACTTTTGATTTCAGTACATTTTTTTATAAAGGTTTCTGATAATTGTTAATAAGAACTTAATAAGAATGGATAATATTTATAGTATATATTTCTTTCTGGCAAGGTTAAACTTAATAATTATTTTTGTAAATGGCAGTTTAATTTTTTCAGATTATAGTGTTTTGTTTCATGTTTTCTAGTATTGACTAATGATCAAGTGCAATTTGATTACCTTAGTTTATTAAGACTTTCATCCTTGTAGTTAACTCTAATTGAAAAAAGGAGACATGTCTGGTTACAGCATCTACAACAAACCTGCTTAATTATAAAATTGATGACTAATGGAATGTTTATGTTTATTGATTTTATTTGGAATAATTTATGTATATCTGATAAAATTTTCCAAAAATGAAGAACAAATTTTAAATTTGGATAAAGGCTACTTAAATTGGAATTTACCCGTTATAACCTAATATGTACTTAAAATAACTATTGTACATTAAATCAAATTAAAACTTGACCCAAAAAGTTATATAGGGTGAGACAAAATTAATATTGCACATTGGCATCTTTTAAAATCAAGTTAATCTTTTATTTTAAATGGTACACCCAGTATATTATTCCAATATTCAATGGGGAATTCATGGCTCTTCAAAATACTATTAAGGTTGCCTATCCGTCAAACAAAGATTTTCAAAGATATTTTCATTTTTATGATTTAGTGTCAGTAGATCTTTATTATTTGATAAAGTTTAGGTGGCTGTGATATGCATGACGATACTTCAACATAGCTGTCAAATTAGTTCAACATAACTACTAGTTATAAAAAGTTTAGCGCTTTCAGTTTGTTTTTAAGATAGCTGGTTAGTTTAAAATCAGCCATAACATCAATTTTATCCGTACTACTTTGATTTAAATGATTACCAAAATTTATCTTATAAAAAATACTGGACAAATTTGGCCCAGTGGCATAAATAAAAAAGAATATTTTTCTTCATCCTCAAGTGTTTGTTTATAGCCATTACTTATAAATATGACGAGTTACTTCCTTGTATTTTTTTTTCATTCAAAAATGCGCATCTTCGCTTCCTATTTAATTTTGACGCATAAATTTATTTAGTAAATAAAATCAGATATTTATTTAGCTAACGCAAAAATATATATATGATAATTAAGTCACTTCATAAAAATATTAGCTGTGACCTTACGATGAAAATTAAATATTACTAAAGTGTGCGATAATTAAAAGAATATTTTCCGATTATGATAGATAGATCTACGTAATTATTAAAACTGTTAGCGTATATATCCACAGAAGATATATCTTATTTGTTTGGTAAAAACCATTTTTGTTTTTTTTCTGGTATCTACACCAGGGTTGCTACCTTTTGTATTTGAAAAATCGGGACAGCACTGGTGCAACGTTTTTTCTTAAATGGAAAATGTTATGTGCCCATCGGATTTTGAAAGAAAATTTTATGCCTTTTTGCGTTAATGTAAAAAAAAACATTGGAAATTTATAAATAATTATATAAAAATAAAAAGATGAAAACAAAATTAGTAAACTATCAAC